ACTTTAAACATTCTCAAATGCCCAGAGAATATTTGGGCTAATTCACCTGGCGAGCATGGTCACCACCACCTAAGGTAAATTGAGCCCTGCCACATTTTTCTTCCTTTAAACCTGGATTCATTTGCATGGAATAAATGACTGATAAAGAAGATGTGAGATATATATATATATAATGGAATACTACTCAGCCATAAAAAAGAATAAAATACTGCCATTTGCAGTTACATGGATGGAACTGGAAATCATCATTCTAAGTGGAGTAAGCCAGAAAGAGAAAGAAAGCTACTATATGATACCACTTATATGTGGCATCTTAAGAAAAAAGAAAAGGACACAAATGAACTTTTCTACAAAATAGAAGCAGACTCACAGACAGAGAACAAACTTATGGTTACCAGGTGGTAAAGGGGGTGGGAAGGGATAAATTGGGGATTTGAAAATTGCCCTTCTTGGGGAATAATGGAAGTGTTCTTTAGCTATCTTGATTGTGGTAGTGGTTTCATTGGTGTAGACATCTATCAAAATTCATCAAATTGTACATCTGAAATATGTGTAGTTAACTGTACAGGAACCATACCACAATAAAGGTGTTAAAAATAAATAAATAAACCTGGATACAGAACAGGCAGGCTGACTTACAAGCTTTTTTATACCTTCTTTTGCAAAATGTGTCATAACTATTCATCATAAACATGGGTTGAATGGATTGCTACCTCCCAGCTTCTTCTCATACTATTCTCAGCAACTGAAACGCCTCAGTCCTCCTTTCTGAGATTTCCTCGTTATTTCAGGTCTTGCTTATTCACTTGGTAACAAAGATAATTGCTATCATTTATCAAGCCCTCACTGTACACCAGGCATCGGACTAAGTGCTTTGCACCAGGCTCATTTAATCCTTTAATCCTATATTGTTAGAACTATCAGTATCCTCACGTTACAGATGAAGAAACTGAGACTTGGGGAAATTAAATCACACACCTCAGGTCACACAGTGAGTCTGTTGCCAAATCTGAACTCTGACCCTTTATAGCACACTGCCTCTTCTCCTGTCCTCGAGAGATACATCTTTCTTTGGAATGCCCTGCACCCCTCCCCTCAGCCACCCCTCTGGCCCTGTCATGTGGATCTTTTTTGCAGCACTCAGGTGGTTTTTGCAGCATAACACAGTCATTAGGCAAATGGACTGGTAAGTCTGACTGCCTGGGCTGGGATCCCAACTTCACTGCTTGCCAGCTTTGTGTGCCTCAGGCAACGTAACTTAAAATTGTGTGTCCTTCATCTAAAAAATAGGTATTATAATAGTACCTGAGATATAGGATTATTGGAATAACTCATTGACTTAACTATCTTTGTAAAGCACTGAACACAGTGCCTGGCACAGAACGAGGGCTCAGTAAATATTAGCTGACGATTAAATGTTACATTAATGTTACAATTAAAATTCCCAGTGCCTGTGCCTCGCCTCCCCATGAAGAGCAGAAGCTAATTAAAGGAGAGGAATCTCTGCCTTCCTTAGTCCACTGCTTTCCCCATGTCTATTTGGTAGAGACTTCCACGCAACTGGGACTTTAAAGGTTTCACTTTTGTGGTTATCTTTTAGGGAACAGATAAATTTCTAATTATTTTAACCATCATCACTAGAATCACACAATGGGAGCTGAAGTGCTGAGCTGGCAAATACCTTGTGAATTCATAGTGTCCCCGCAGAGATTGAATGCAGCAATCTTTCCTGCATTACCCACTCTGTGCTGAAGCTGGCAGGCGCCTGGGAAACGGAGGCTGAAAGGGCCCTTCCCAGGACCCCCAAGAAAGGAAACAAAGATTATAGCAATGGCCAGTACTAATTTGGACTGTACTGAGAAATGTCGGGAGGGGGGAGAAATTCTAGGGGCATGTCTTATGATTAAAAAACAGCCCTAGGGACTAAAAACTATATATGAAACAGCTAAATGACAAGATCCTACTGTACAGCACAGGGAACTACACTCAATATCTTGTAATAGCTTATAATGAAAAAGAATAGGAAAATGAATACAGACACACACACACACACACATATATATATATATAAAAAACTGAATTACTATGCTATACACCATAAACTAACACAACACTGTAAATCAACTCTACTTCAATTAAATTTCTCTTTTAAAAAAAGCCCTGATTTATTGTCTATCCATCTATGGATCAATCCAGAAAGTGGCGGATGATGCAGAGGATAATTAATCTTTCTTTTTCTTGGAATTGAGACACAACCTGTTCAAATGGCTTTGACTGAAATGTATGACGGCCCCCCCACCCCCATGGCCGTTTGGCAGTGGAAGAGCACATCCTGTTTACCGAGAACATTTAATCTGATTTTGTAAACTCTGCAAGGAACAAGGAGCCAATGAATCTGCAAGGATGCCAGTGAGGTTGTTTCTGATTTAAACTCAAAAGGCAGGGCTGTTGTCTGGGGGAGATGGAGCCACCTCTGTGTCCTCACCTGCGGACGTGAAAGGGGGCTGTTCCTCCCATGAATGGCAGCAGCCAGGATCTAAATACACGATGCTCACCGCTGCGGGTGCTGCTGGCCCCAACTTCTCCGTTTACATGAACCGGCATTGCTTCTGCTTCTCAATTTAGGCAAACGAAAAACCATGTCCAGGTCCCTTCCCCCGAGAGTCTGACTCAGTTGTTCCAGGGAAGTGTCTGGGCATTGTTTCCTTTGTGTCAAGTTTCTGGGGTCATACGGATTAGACAGGAGGTGTTCTAACCTGCTAAAATCTGGACCAGGCAGTAATTTTATCTATTAATAGAATTTCTGCAAAACTGGGAATCCATGTTGCTACAAAGCTGACAGAATCCAGCCTATTCCATTAATTCTCTATTCCATGAGACTTTTATCCTCACATTTTCCCAACCAAGAATGGGGTGGGAAAGTCAGAGATCTGGGCTGCTCATCTCAGGGCCCCCAAAAGATTCGTTGCATAATGCTGGGCAAACAGCTCAACCCATGAGCCTCTCATTTTTGTGTTCCGTGAAATGAGAATACGCTACCTGCTTCACCTGTGATGTGGTGAAGGAAGACGAAGTCTCTGCCAGCGGCTAGCACTGTGCAACAGGGTGAAATGTCTAATCAGAACTCTCCAGGACTCGGAAAAAGAGTCAAGGCAGGCAAACTTAACGGGATGGTCAAGAAAGCACCACAGAATGTCCAGAATCAGCCGGGCAAATGAACCCTCTGGTTTGGGGCAGAGAAACCTTGGAAAGAGCTGGAAAATACCAAATAGCAACTGAAAGTATTTTGTAGTTATTCTTGGATATGACATTGGTTATGCACCTTCTTTCCAAATCCAATACTGACAAGTTCACAGTGATTTTTTTCTTATTCATTTGTCTCATAACAATGCATGGGGGGGGGAATAAAAGGACACCTTTTTACAGAAGGCCAAAAGAAATAGCAAATGAGGGGGAGGGCACAGCTCAGTGGTAGGGTGCGTACTTAGTGTGCACAAGGTCCTGGGTTCAGTCCCCAGTGCCTCCATTAAAATAAATAAGTAAATAAATAAACCTAATTACTTTCCCCCAAAGCAAAACAATAAATAAATAAAATATTTTTAAAGGAAATAGAAAGTGAACCCATGTGTTAAACACATTTATTACCCATTAAATAAAGAAGGAATCTTTCCTACTCTCTCCCCATCTTCCCTGGGCCAAGCATTTAATCTAGCAGGCTAGCTATCATCTATCTGTCTGTCTATCTATTTATCTATCTGTCCAGTTAATTTTCTTTTATCTCCTATAGCAAGGCTGTCTTTGATGGCCTTCAAGACAGAAACCTAAACTATTAGTTGGAGAATCTAGAGTTTAAATTAATCCATGGGACGTTGTTATTAATATTATTAATTGCCAAAGCTAAAACCAACACAAAAATAATAATGGCGAAAATGAATAAAACACTTCCAGATCTTGCTAAGTGTTACAAGAGGTGTTCACCTTCCCCATGGATCATTTTTGCTTTCCAGCGAGAGGAAGGTGGTGCTAAGGATTAATACACGAATCTGACAATGAGAATTTATTGTCCTCCTATGCGCCCTGGCTTGTCCTAAGAGCTCAGAAGACAGAAAAATAAATCATATAATTGGTAAGATACACAGCAAACTATAGGTGGGCTAACTTTGCATATGGGGTGTGCTGGGCTTGAAAACCTGTGAGACGTATTCTATCACAGGACGAAGACAGTCACGTGTTACTTGCATAATTCAAAAATCAAAGTCCTCAAACTAGCCCTTTATGAAGAGAAACACCGAGCTGCAGTAAAGCGGTGTAGCCTGGCTTTCTACAAAGTCTGAGAAAACATGGCTTAAGCAAACCACACATCGTAGGTCACGTCTGCCCTTCTAGAACCCTCCAGGGAAGTCCGCTTCCTCTTAATCCCAGCTCTTCTTCTGCTCTCCTTCCCAGCACTGACACGCAAAGCCGCTTCCCCTCAGTCTTGGGTAGGGGGCTGCAGCCTACACTGCACATTCCCAGCACTGCCTGGCGGCTGGGGATAACCCGTGTCCACGACCCCCGTCCCGCTATACCCTCCCCATCCATCAGCACAGCCACAACGAGGCTGCCTGGCACGGAAACACTCACACTGCAATTCACAATCGAACGCTCTGGTCTTCATGGTATATTTTCTGGCTCAGGGATCAGAAAACTCATTTCAAAGGAAAGAAAAAGGAAAAGAAAGCTCTCTTTATGATAGAGGAAATCCTAAAGGATCCCAGCTAGCTGCCTGACACTCGGTCTCCCTAAACGCAGTTTCATCCACTTGACCGACAGGCTGCATACACGATGCCCTTGACCTGACAGGCTTTACACTCCTCCATAGGTGTCACAGTGACCTAAAAGAAAATCAGGCAGAATGTCGGAATCAGAAGACGCCTCGAAAGGCGTGTCAGAGTGACTTAGGTGCCCCTGAGGTCTTGCTGCAAAGGGAGACAGACCGCAGTAGGAGAAATGCCCGTTACCTGCCCAGCACGGTGGTCCCCAGGCCGGTGCCTGCTCTGCTCGGACGTCTAACAAGCTTCCAGGTCTCCCCTGTGACGCTGTTTACCCCGCGGTCTCATGCTCGATAGAGGGAGGGCTCCAGGCAGGACTGGCAGCTCCGAGCCGAGCTCAGCCTCACCCCTGACCTCCGTGTCGTGGTCCTCCGAGCCTCACAGAACCACCCCCGATGGCTGGCTGCTGTTTGAAAGCTAGGAGTGATTTCCTGGTCCTCTTCCCCGGATGGCATGTGCAATTTCCCTCACGCCCACTGGAAGTCCTTCAGATCCTTCTTATCTGGAAACCTCACCACTGAGTGGCCAGACTTGTTTGGCCAATGCCCCGAGTTCTTCCTTTCCTTCCTCCAGGGAAGAAGATCAGAAAATGAAACCAAAGCAAATCCAAAATGGGGTTGAGCTCATGACTGCTGTAGGATGCCCAGTTTAAACCTTCCGAAGATATCCACCTACTTACATTGCATTTTCAGAGTGGAAAGAAAATTACAATTATCAATGAGTTCCATTTCTAGCAGCGCCAAGAAGTCAGAGAATAAAAAAATCCTGAATGTGGGAAGACCTGAAGGAGTTGTTTGGTCCTACCCCTGAGCTTTGGAAGGGCTGCGTTTCAAATATGCCACATTCAGGGGCATCTAGTTCTCCCAGATTTCCGGGGAAACTCAGAATATTTGTGCATCAAACTATAAATTCTGTATGTCACACTGAAAATAACACTAATATTCAAAGATTAGGATATACAGGGGAAAAGGCAGTTTGGCAGGCTGCCGTCAGGTTGTGGGATTTAAAGATGAATTAGAATCAGACACAGAATACAAACTTGCGGTCGCCATGGGAGTGGGAAGGGACAGACTGGGATTTCAAAATGTAGACTAGATAAACAAGATTATACTGTATAGCACAGGGAAATATATACAAGATCTTGTGGTAGCTCACATCGCAAAAAAAATGTGTGACAATGAATACATGTATGTTCATGTATAACTGAAAACTTGTGCTCTACATTGGAATTTGACACAACATTGTAAAATAACTATTACTCAATAAAAAAATGTTAAAAAAAAAAAGAAGAATTAGAATCAGAGTTTTTGAGCTGGAAGGAATCTACCCATTCTCATTTTACAAGTGAGGAAACTGAGGTTCAAGGAGAAGCTGTGACTTGCCCAAGGTGAGAACACAGGTGGGAAGGCACAGATTATCGTCCAGTTGTTCTTAAACTTCACTATCAGGGCTACTCATTGTCTTCCCGCTCTGAAGCCCTGCCCACAGAAAGTTTGGCGAGTGGGGCCCATCCTGGAGCCCAGGAATCTGCATTGAACGTCCTCCAGGTGAATGTGGCGCAGGCTGTCCTCAGCCTGCACTGAGAGAAGCCCTCTTAGAGTCAGGACCATGTGTCAGTGCAAGGACCCAGAGTCAGACTGCAGGGGTTCAAACCACAGGGCTGCTGATTTCTATTTCTGTGACCTTGTACACATCACGAGACCTCACTGAGGCTGTTTTATTACGTGTCAAAGTGAAATAATAATACTGCTGAGCTTATAAAGGCTCTGAGAAAAGCTGAGCTTAGAGGAAGGACTCCAGAACAGGAGACCTCAGCTCTAACCTGCCAAGCTCCCCCCATGCCTTGCCTGTTCCACACCATCTCCCTTCATCCCTGCCAGCCTTTCCTTTCAGCCAGAGCTACTGCCCGGAGGCGTGCCAGCAACCATCAGTGTCCTCAGGCTGGTGACCAAGTGAGGTATTTTAGCAAAAGGAGAAGGAGCTTTCAGAATGTTATCATTCTGTTTCTTGGTACTGATTCTCAAGTGTTGCGTCCAGCCCACTCCACGCCATCATGGGGGATGTTGACGGATGCCCGCCTACAGCTGGCCCCCACCTCCTCCTCGCTGCCAGCCCAGCCCTGGCTCAGCACTCAGAGGGGCACGTTGTGATTGGCCTAAAGCCCAGTGATCTCATTCTCCTTGCTGGACCCTGGGGTGTGCTTGGACACGTGGCCGACTGTGGATGGACATTCCCTCTGGATTTACTGTTAGTGGCACAGTAAAGGGCCTTCTGATTTAATCCAGTTCTAATCGCATTTTCTAGAGAAAATCACCACGAAAAATAAATCTTTTGATTCTATATAAAATACTACCTGTGGCCAAATAAATCAATAAAATAAAAATATTAAAACATATGTGCACCCAGCCAAGTAGCTTAAATCATATTTCAGAATATAGTTGTTCCTTGAAAACTGTGTTTGAAGTGTATGTGTCTACTTACATGTCAATTTTTTTTTTCACTAAATACACACTGGTTTATTACATGATCCACAGTTGGCTGGTTGACTCTTTGTACGTGGAACCCGGATATGAAGGGCTGACAGTAAAGTTACACACGGATTTTTGACTGCATGGGGGTCAGCACCTTGACCCCTGCATTGTTCAAGGCTCAACTATATTCCAAATTTCTTATGCTAAATATTTGTGGTATTGACTTTTCCTATAGGAAATGGACAAAGATATTCCAGATTCTTTTTCACACTAAAACCTACAATATTAAACATACATAGTGGAAAAAACACTTGGGTCTTAAAAACCTAGGGTAGCTTGGGGTTAAGGGTATGGACTCCAGATCATCCCACTAGTAGCTCCTCAGAAACTTAACTGGCTGTTTAATTTTTCTATGCCCCAATTTTCTCATCTGTACAATCAGGCTCATAATAATACCTACTTCAGAATTGCTAGGGAGATGGAAATGCTTATAACAGTGCCTGGCACATAATGAGCTTGTGTTAAGTGTTAGCTATGGTTATTTCTGCAGAAAAGAGACGTTTTTGTTGTAATAACTGTTGCATGCGTGGATTTGGGATTGTCTTTGTCTTTGCTGTCCTGCTAGAGTTCTGCCCAGATTGGCACTTTGAAGATGCCTCCAAAATACACCTGTTGTCTCTGTTATGAGTTTTGGCTCCTTTGAGGGTAACGCGAGTGGATTAGTATAAATGTAAGATGAATGACACCAGCTACGTTGGGGAGGAAGGAAGACAGCATAGGAGGAAACTGGAAATTCAGGTCGGGTAAAGGACACTAAAAGAACTTTGCAGGCTGGCGGCTTTGGAAAGTTATTGCAAGGTAGCTCTGAATGTCTGCTGGCAGAGGTAGCCAGCCCTGGGAGAAAGGAAAGTTTGCCAACCATGATACTTCAAGAAAGAGTGACAGAGTAGGGGAACTTGACTTGGATACACCTTGCCTTAAAAAACATCTTGCTGTCAGAGTCTGCTCCTGGGTTAAAGCATCTCTGAAAATGCTGTCTTTTTCCTGCTTGCGCTGGGTCGTGAGGCGCAGTTGGCTTTGACACAGACCTGGACGTCGTCAGGGTGACTGTCCCTTCGCCTCCCTGAGGAGCAATTCCTCTCTCACCCACAGTCCCGTCTGTTGCTAGGAACACCCTGTGCTCGTCCCACTCAATTTACAATGAAAACAAAGACAAATAAAAAAAATGGAACCACCATATGGTCTTGGCTGCAACCCAGAATTAACTGCTGATGGGAAGACGTTGCCCCGTGGCAGCTCCAGATGCAACTGGCGGTGACAGAGGCTCTTCACCTGAGTCCTAAGATGTTGGAGTTGGTGGCAAATCGAACACAGACTTCTTCAACCAGACTGCGATGGTGCAGCCGGAGTAACCAATTCATGAGTAGCGTCATCTATGTTTGTGTTAGTAAGAGGTGTCTCTTAGGACTTGAGGGCATAACCTCATTTGAGATAGAGCTATTTTCCCAGACCAGGAGCATTGGGACCCAATAAATCTGTACTTCCCAGCACACTCCAGGCTCTTATGTGCCTCTGCTCTTCCCCCTTTTCACCTAGATAACATGCAGTCTCCATTTAAGTGGCAGGTGTTATTCTTCCAAGACCCACACAGCCCTCCCAGCCTGGGCCAAGGGTTCCTTCCCTCTGATCCCACACTTCCACCGTTACCACACTGCATTCAGATGATCATTTGGATGCACTGAGTGTAAGGACCTTGAGGACCATGCCTGGTCTTATTTATTATAGGCCTGGCTCTTCGAATGGTGCTGGCATTTCACAGGTGATCAATCAAAGCAGACAAAAGGAAACTGCTTCACCTCAGTGCATTGATGGTTTCTCCTCTTAACACTGGGGTGTCCCATGGGCTCAGTCTTTGGAACTCTTCTCTGTTGACATTTATTTCCCCAAGGGATCTCCACCAGTCTCATGGTTTAAATCTCTGTGCTGATGACTTCCACATGTCTGCCTCTATCACAGACCTCGCTCCTGAACTCCCGGCCCATGTCTCCAACCGCCCACTTGTTACCCCCACTTGGATGTCCCACAGGCTCTCAAACTGAGCATGTCCAAACCCAAACTCCTGATCTTCCCACCCAGACTAGCTTTGCCAACAGTCTCTCCCATCTCAGTAAAGGGTGTCTCCATCCTTCCACGTTACCCAGACCAAAACTCTAAGAGTCATCCTTGAGTCCTCCCTTGTGCACTGTAATTTGTCATCAAATCCTGTGAGCGCTGCCTTCAAAATAGACGCATGATCGGGCCTTTCTTCCCCTTTCCACTGCTGTCACTCTCATCAAGCCATCATTGTCTCTTGCCTGGATTATTGTCAAGGCTCTAATCGGTCTCTGTGTTGGCCTGCAGTTAGAACGGTCTTCATAAAACATAAACTATATCATGTCCACCAGAGCTCAGCCCCCCTGTGCACCGGTCTCACACAGTCAACATGAAAGTCCTTTCAGCGGCCTGTAAGGTCTACGCCATTGGCAGCCCTGCTCCTCCCACCACGTCTTCCCTTAACTCCTCTCCTACTTCCTTCCGTGTTGCTCCAGCCACGCTAGCCTCCCTGTGAGCCAGCACAGTCCCCTCCCAGAGTCTTGGCCTTTGCCTGGGATGCTCTTAGCTCGGACACCCTAACTCACTCCGTCACCTCATTCCCACCATTGCCTGAACATTGCTGACCACCATATTTCACATTCCACTCCCCCCAACCCCCTTCTCTGATTAATGCTTTCCATATCACGCATCCCCTCTAATACACTGTAATGTACTTGTTTTATTAGCTGTCTCACCTTTCAACCCTCCGCTAGCGTGTAAGCTCCCTGAGGGCAGAGGTGCCTATTCGGTTCACTAAAGAAGAGTGTTTGAAAGTGCACCGTGCAAGCAGGGTTTGGAATGCCATGATATTAGTATACACACAGCAGAAGAGCATACCAAAGTCCATGATGGTTCAACTTGCAAAACTCT